GTGATGACATGGTTTTGTCCAATCAGATTAACAGAATATAACTGTAACAACAAAAAAGTGCAAACGAAAAGCACAATAAGGTATTGTTTCAACTAGATAATACATACAAGTTATCACAACATTTAATCCGTCCACACCTAAGCAGTAGACGAACATTTAGTTTCATTGGCATGGTCACGTGATTATTGAAATATTTGAATAAAATGACAGTAACATTTAAACTTCACGACGCAGTTTAAGCCAACTTGTTTTATCAGATATCGGTGTTTTTGGTTTCAGACTTATAAAAAGTCCGGAAGTGACGCAATCTACCATCACATTCACTTTTGGATCGGGAAATACAGCACACAGGTAAAGATTTTAGACCGTATGTGGTCAGAACTGGTAGTTAGTGTCATGAATAAAACAAGCAAAAGGACCAGGCATACATAATGATCTAGGTTAAGAATAATGATTTAGTAGCTTATTTTTCCTGATTAGGTATCCACTCCTTATCTTTTGTCAACAGAAGGACAAATTTGGTCCATACACATCTAGTTTTGGATGAAGTAGGACAGTACTGTCTCAAAACAAAAAAGAGACATTCAATTGTTATTATTATATTTCAATTTTGACGGAATAAGCAGTATGTAACCCACCATGCTTCGTGCGAACCTTTTTACAAGCAAAATCCAAGGAACGCACGTTAAATTGCCAAGTTGATAAGTTGTATTTCTTATACGTGTTACATTATCGATATCTTTTTGCTGAAATAGAAAAAAAAGAGATAAGTATGACCAAATCCACTAGACAGATATTGTTGTTCCTTTATGTTTTATGCCCACATCGTATGAGGTTGAATGTTGTATTTGATCTCAATCTTTGTTACTTACAGGACGAGTACGGTACGGCAGCCTACAAGACGGTGGAGCTAGCAACATACCTAGGGGGTAACCCCATCCAACACAGGGAGATCCAGGAACACGAGTCCAAAATGTTCCGCAAGTACTTTGTGGCAATCACGTACGTGTGTTTGTTGCCATGGTAACACTTAAATAAATTCGAATTGTGTTTGATTTATGTATGCAAAATAATGTAAAAACATATTTTAATCAACATAACTTTTTTTATGGGTTTCAATGATTCAGCATTCAGCTTCATTGAGAGCGTCTCTTTACCTGACGTTGCTGTCAATGTATAGGTCAAGGTCAGGCGCTGTTTAAGTCGTCATTTAAATAATTTTTATTATGCTTACGTTGTATTTGGTTATTTCAAGGAAACGAGTATGAATTTTTGAATCTGCATCATACCTGATATTTTGTTTAATTTGTATTGGCCATCTTGCTTTACGCCATCCATTTCACAGCAAGTTATCTTCTCAAAACATTATTTCTAAACAACATTAGACATTATTAGTTTATTGTCACACCTCCAGAAAATACAAATGTCCTGATGTGTGGCGTTTGATGCTTAAGTGGGTGGGTGGTTTTTTTTTAAAGTTTTGACAGTATAAGTGATTTAAATGTTACTTCTTTGTGTCATCATGTTAAAGATAAATAGCTCAGTCTAGGTCTTGTATCACTAAAGGTACCTAAAGGGCGGCGCGGACAGTGGTTTCCGGACAGTCAAGTCGGAGGAGTATACCCCACGCCTTCTTCACTTCCACGGAGACAGACGTGGCGTCACAGTTAAGGAGGTAAGCAGGCTAATGGGAGAATACTAAAACATACATGTATATGTTTAAATATACCACACTATACGATCATTGGTAGAGGAAATCAAATACAGTAAATAGACAAAAATAATTGACCTGCTGCATTTCACTCCATGATTGTAGCAAGCGATTGAAGAGATAGCTGACTTCAGCATCTGATTGGGGGATATATAGGTCTAACTGGTCTATTTGGCTTTAAAACCCTTTGAATAGAAATATTAAGAAGGCCAAAACGGATCTTTTTCAGTGTTCTCTGATAAAGGAGTATCTGAGAGGCTAAACTGGTTTGTCTTCACCTCCCTATAATTATGAATAATTAAGAGACAAAGGCATATCTGCCTTTAGTTCCCACTGATTTAGACCTGTATTTGTGTAACATTCATCTTTTAAGATACAAGGTGGTAGATTCTGCTGGTGGATTTTTCAGTCCCCGAGATTTGTTGTAACCTTGAAGGCCGCAGTTGCGCTTTAGCGTGGCTTATGTTCGCTAGATAGAGCGCTATATCAAATGTTGTTTATTATCATTATTATTATAATTATCTCTTTTGAGTAGTGGCAGGATTCATCTAGTTTGAAATTATATAGTGCTCTGAAACCTTTTAATTCATTAATGCAGGGGCTGTTTCGACGAAAGTTTAGACTATTCAGATTTCCATCCTTTCGTCCCCTAGCACCACCAATAAGTCATGGAAAGACGAAACAGCTGGATGGTGCAGGCTAATTTATTTTTGGCATATTGCATCTTTTTACCAAACCACCTGTGTGTGTTACGTTCATCTTTAACAGACCAAACCCAGTGCCCTCAGATAAGATGATATTTAGGAGGTCAAAACTGACTTCAGCGACTTTTGAGTGATATATCGGAGGTCTAACCGACCTGTCTTAAGCGCGCTATTTAGGAGGCCAATTCAGCATGCTGTCTCCATTGAAATATCCTTTCCGGACATACAGTGTATTGCAAATATGTCGAAAAATACATAAAAAAAACAAGCGAAAGTGTTGTAGAACATTTAGAGACTTTATAACCTTTCAATATAGGTTCAGCAATACTTAGGATTTCCAGGTCGATGCTGTCAAAACACTTTTGACAACCTTTCTTTTTATAACGAAAATGACTTTGACTGCGAAGTTTTTTGCCATCTGACATTGCAGTCGTGTCGATAAGATGAAAGAGTGTATGTGTTCATTATGGTCAGATTCCCAGGGACAAAAACAAGCTGGATTCGACTGACGTTTACATACTTGATCTTGGCCTGGTGATTTATCAGTGGAACGGCAAAGGTAGCAACAAGGACGAGCGGTTCCAGGTAGGTAGCAACAAGGACAAGTGGGTCAAGGTAGGTAGCAAAAAGGACGAGTGGGTCAAGGTAGGTAGCAACAGAGACGAGCGGGTCAAGGTAGGTAGCAACAATGACGAGCGAGGCAAG